CGGGCTTAATTGGAGGAGGAAGGAATCTGACCAACACGGGGTGCACAGAAGAACTGTGCATACATATGTTTCCAAGCATTTTGACCTGATAAGAAGTGACAACAAGAATATCATTGCTGTTGGTGCGCTGCCATGTCCATCAATGTCTTCAGCCAACTGGCTGTAAAGTCTTTTGGACTCATCCTGGAAGGCAGGAAATCTTCACTCTTCTTAAGCTCTCTTTGCATTTTTTCATGCTTCGTATCCATGTCATCTGTTGACCTCCGCCTGGTTTTCTCTCACCTGGAGCAGCAAATGCAAATAGGGCTTGTTGCGATAGATGAAGACTGGGCGTGGGCAGTAGTGTCTTAACCAGCGAAGCCGACTAACTTGGATTCTATATGATAGCGAATTCTTCACTGAATCGTTACCACCTACGGCCAGGTGCATGTTTCAGCCAACCCACACCAAACTTCGTAAACATTGGTAGTCGAAAACCCCTAGACGATGAATATCTTCCTGGCCGAAATTAAGGGTCTCGTAACCGTAAAACAGAACTGACCACACACTGGTGCAGTATATGCGACCTTTCAGTTTCAAGGAAATTGCATGTCGGCACCCTTAGACCTTGTCGATTTCTCTGCAAAATTAATGCAATGAAATCCTAAATTTTCTCTTCGATACTACTTTCAACCTTTCCTGTCTTTCTCCTTATGTTCATCGAAATGGGACGCCCAAGGATAGCGACCAAAACCGGCACACAAGAGTGCATGGTTAATGGTTGTACAAACTGAACTGAACTAGGGTCCAGTGGCACGTTAACCGCACTACCCGACTTTGATGGTAGGCAGCTCTGCTGTTGTCCGGTTCAATACCACGCCTAAACTGTCGGGGCCTTATGTGGTTCGCCACTCCAATTCCCGGGCTTAGGTTACCGGTTTACACCACTGAACAGCAGGTCTTGGTGACTATGGGGCTCGTCCCGTTTGCTGTTCATCACAATTAGGTGTGTAATAAAAAAACCCCAAAAAACTAGTCACAATTGATGCTGGTTTGGGCATGATGAGCAGTGCATCCAAGAGCTCTTCGATGAACGAGTGCATTACCAAATCTAAAAATTACTGAAGCACTAGGTTGCTTTGCAGGGATAGACCCGGAAGAGTTTGATAGAAACTCAGTACAAAAATATACAAAGGAACCTTTTTGTGATATACATACTCCAAGATACCGGTGTCAGATTTGACACTATGGATTTCGTTCCATCGGTTGAATGTTCGGCTTCTTGACCCAATCGAATATCACATGACGACAGTGCTAGTGAAAATTATCCAAAATGTTGGACACCTGTAAGTAGTAAAACCTCTAAAGCGACATATATGGTGTATTATTTTGCATTTACACAAATCCAAGAGCGGTACAATAAATAAATGTAACAGCTTACCGTTCCTTAGCTTCATTACACAAGGAATCCATTTGAAGAAGTAGATACACGGATAGTTCGATAATAGGGATCACAGGAGACGTCAATACAATCCCCCTGCTGTCATCATTTTATTCATGGTTACAACGTATAACATCGCAGAATCAACCATTGCAAAATATAAATATTTTTTGAAACATCCTTTCCCTTCAATCCATTTCAATAAAGTAAGTTATACAATAGGAAAAGAGTTAATGTTGGCCATCAGTTTCTCGTGCTCTATACGCACATCAGATAACTTGGAATGTTACAAGAATAAAACCATTTATGGACATGTCAATAATTACGTTGGTTCAAACGGAGTAAATTGTGTGTTGGTATATTACCAAAGTCATTTAGAGATAAGTGAATGAGGAGAGGAGTATTGATAAGAAGTCAAAAGAGTTACTAGCATAAAAACGGTTACGCAATCGAAAGCCGTTCACCGTGGAGAAGTTAGTTCAAAGTGTCAACGATGAATTCGGGGAACGAATAAGATGAGGGAAGGGAGTTGTGCAAAACAATTCGTATGGTAATAGCAACTGCATCACGAAAGCCCTTTGCGCGCAAAGTTCACACTCCAAACGACTAATGACAGTCGCTCCTGCCCAGCTAAACATTTTTGAGTTTCGAAATCCGGGGATAACACGGAAAGCTTTGATTTGGTCAATGCAGTGTTCGGTATCCATCAGATGTCGTGACATCGCGCTTGCTGGAAGTTTTCCTCCTCGAACTGCCAGGTTTTTCGAAACATGCTCGCTCATTCTGATCGATAATCGGTGTTCAGTCCTCCCGGCGCACCGCAGACTGCAAGCACATTGGAGGTAGATGCAACGGATGGTGACTGTCCTTGCGTGATCGAGTTAGTGAGCTAACTGTCCTCTGAATCATGATCAACTTCGCGGCAGGACAGGTATACTCATCTGCTATCCGGAGCCAACAACCAATTCGTACAATTACATCGTCTTGTTTTCGATCACTGTACTTTGTCCTGGGCGTGGTAGGTATGCTATGTTTCTGTATAAAATGCAAGGTTTAGCCATTAGTGGAAGAAGCGTTCCGCAGTTCTCTTATTTCACTTTCTAGCACACCCGGACTACACAAACGACGAACTTTGTGCTACAGGGTTCTGAACAATCCAATGTTTTAACACAGAGGACAAAAGCTTTAGAGGTGTCAATACTGCTCTGTCCATGTACACTTGTAGTAACCTAATGTGAAGAGTGTACCGTTCCTCATTCTTGTCAGTTGTAAATTTAGGAATGGTAATGAGTCATTAGTTTCACATTTCAAAGTGAACTTGATATCCCTGTGGATCCCGTTCAACTCATTAAACAGAACCACGACGTCTGTTTTGTTTGAGGTTATTGTTAGTGTTCCATCGACTCAACGGTGATAAAGCAATAAAGATATGAGCTCACTTTCTATGCCATTCTCATGTGTCGACATAAATATATCATTTCAGATTTGTCCGAGTGAGCTTCTGATAATCAACCCATCTATTTGACGGTAGATTGTGCCATTGAAAAAACTGCACATTGCAAACACAATTTCAATAGGGTTCTCAATTCGTTTGCTTGGAATCCAATTTTACTCGCATGTTTATACACCACGTCTTTCTCCACTGGTACTTTAGTGAATAACGAGGCGACATCATAAGAGAGATACATTAACGATAGTCAGCTTAAAATATGATACCTTAAACTGGAATGAATCTGGCGACCTGAAATGTGACCCATTTCCTTAGTCATCCGCTGAGCGCATCTGTACTGACGTTAATGGATCATTCAGAAAATCGGTCGCAAAGGGACCCCAAATGTATGAAGCTTTATGAAACCTAAATGTGTGGTATTCTTGTTCCATTTGGTTTCAGATGATTCCAAGTACTAGTGGCAATCACTTACCTTTTCCAAAGTTGCTTCCAGTAAGCACTGATTCTCCTTGGATCTGCATGGGACCAGTCACTGTCACTGAGGAATGGTTTTCCACTTTTTTCACACATTGGTCCTTGTTGATTATGACTACTCCAGATCATATGTCCGGTAGATGACTCATCTCAGTATAGTCATTATTCAACTCAGTGTTTTCAGGTGGTCTTGTGTTAGGATGAGGTTATTATCGGGTTTTGTGACTTATAGCTAATGAACAAGATCCATCAGGCTAAATTGTTCAACATCCATTGACCTCGGAATATTTCGCTGCTTATTATTATTATTATTATTATTTACACCAATCTTTACAGATACGGCACTAAAGATAACCATGGGTGAACAAAAAAATGTAGGTACAAAAACGGGGAAAATAAAACAGTCAACTTCAGAGAGTGACAATTTTATTTCGTTTGTTTACTGCACGCCATTTTGAGGACTTGTTCGCTTTTCTTTATTTTGGGGATTGCAAACAGGAGAGGATACGTTCGCGCCACTGACTTCGGTTCGATGCCGTATCCCGCAGTGTCACCAGCCAAAGACAATCTGAATATTTTGGGCCTCAGCCGGGGAGCCGGGAAACCCCAACACAAGCCGGATTAGAGTAGTCTCTTTAACCCTCTGCGCCACGTCATAGCCTGTCCACCTCGCTGTTTCTTCCAGCCTGGACCGACGTATGCGAATAGTGCACGGTGTGGTAGATAGTGCTCAGGCATTCGTAGGACGCTAAAAAATTGCTGGTCGAGGCTGAAAGATTATGAGTAGCGGCTAAATAATTTCAGTTGAGGCTAAGTTATAATAAGAAAAGGTATGCAAGGTTATTCAATGATACCTCTAAACATGATAATCGTTGTGCAATATAGAACTACACCTACCTAAGTTATGGTGGTATGCCCTCTCCAAGACCCCGAGTTTTCACATCCACCTGTTCCTCTTTCGTTGTTTATCTGAGGTGCGCTAGTATTATTTTTATCGAAAATGATGGTTCAGCGGTTGGGGTCACCAACTTGCCCCTAGGGACGTGTTTATGAACCATACCATCGCCGCCCATCTTTCCGTTTTTCTTATGTATGTCAGCTCCTTGGATTAATTACTTCCCCTTTCCTGAAAGTTGTCTGTGTTATATATATCCAGTAAATTGAAGTGAAAAAGGGAAACCTGGCTCCCTCAGCAGAGGCTGTTTGAAAGACTCCGTCGTCCAGGAACATTCCACGAGGTGTGAAGGAAATGTAATCTTTCACAACCCAAGTCGCCCATCCTCTAACGTACGACGACATTCGGAGGCATTGAGATATCAGAGTCTAATTCAGTCGCTAGTGTGTATCACATATATTTTTTCTCCATTTTTTTTTGCTTGATGAAACGTGATATCCAGCTCATTTTCAAGTTTATCTTGTAAAATGTATTTTTTTCATTGAATACACCATAACTTAACGTATACCGTTTTTTAAAATTTTGTTTTGTACCTCCTATTCGTGCAGTACTGCGGAGACTGCATTGCTGTCGTTAGTCTCCTCTCCGATTCCGTTTTACGGTTGGCTGTGGCTCCCGCGCAAGAAGTTGTTGGCATCCCGGCCACACATTCGCATCTCTTACAACTACAACTACCACCAGTTTCGAGCTACATCGACATCATGGTTCCACGCCGTTCAATTTATGTGATGCGCGGGGCTTCGCGCTACCTTATGACGCATGCAATTTTATCGAACCACGAGGTCAGTCAACTGTACGAAAAGCTTTCGAACCCAGTCTATGCGGCTATACGTAGCCGTCGAATCTCTGTGATTTGTCGCACTCGGGCCACGGATAATCTGATCGATTTAACAAAGCCGGAGACAGTTAAATCCCCGTAACCGGAATTCACTCATCTACTGTTCTATCATTTATATACCCCGAATAGAGTTATTTTCATTTTTATCTCATTTTGAGTTCTACCTTAACTCTGATGCACGTTGGTCTGCCTGTTCGCCTCTACCGACCTTTAATTATCACCTGATTTGGGCTGTTGATTTACCGCATAATTAGTTACGGTTTTTCTCAGTGTATTGATGTTGACATTTAGTAAATGTGGAATAGAATGCTGAAAGAGGCTTGTGGTGACTCGATACTTTTATGCTTTTCC